CTGGTCACTGCCGTCTTCCTGGATGGGGACCCCGAGACGGGCCACATCAATGGCTGGAGACATTGTCAGACATGGCCCAGTCGCGCCCTCAATGGCGCTCATGCATCAAAGCTATTGCCTTCAATGCATACCTCCTTTTCCACCCCACCCCCCACTTGACAGCCCACTGACAGTGCTGGATTTATGCACCAACGCGCCTGCAATGCGCAGCTACCTACCCCCTCCCCCAAATCATCGGTGAACGAAACTGCGGCAGCTGCAACCACTGTACGACGAGTATGCGGTTATTACAGCTGACAATGAAAAAATGAAATGAAATAACCTCCTTCATTCACTTCTACTATGTCAGGTTCTGTCCACTGCCAGGTGTCTGCCACTACTAATTAGCCATTGAAAACGGAGCACGTCTCAGTAGGCGGTAACTTCAAATACGTAATACAAGACCCATTCACCTTAGATTACAGTGCTGGACACATTCTTTGAATGAAGTGCTCCCTGCTTCAGCAAAAACCCTCCCCTGATCGACTCATTCCGAATTTGTTGGTCCCAGCTGACTTCAGCTGGAGCGCTGAGACACAGATGGTCGAAAGCCTGAAGATGTACCAGTTATTGCAGCCAACGGTAATGGGTACCGAACGAATCTGTCAGTCCTTAGGAATGGGCCTGCGGATGCCGCCAGCAGCGGCGTGAGATAGGGGGGACAAACACGTAAAAATAGGGGAGTAGACAACAGAAATCTGTCTTCGCTCACCTACCCTGCATTATGCAGTAAGTAGAGCGACACAGCATGACGGCTGTTGTGGCATGAGATTACTCGTCAAAGGGTAATTTACGCTTGTACACGGACCGGGATAGTGCCAGGGCATCCAGACTTAGAGAGGAGTAAATCACCAATATCTTGTTCACTCAATCACAACTTCAGGGGGAGCATGGTGAACACTAATGGAATCAGCCAAGGGAACCGAGTAAATAATCCGTTCTGCCTGAGGACGCAGAGAGATAGCTTGAAGCTCGAGGGTGAAAGTTGACGAGGTGAAAACCACTGAAGGGTCTGGAAGTCTCTGCACCAGTACACCGTTCGGCCTCCGCATGAAAGGCTACAGACAGCTTCCATCCTTAAAGGAGCTTCAAATAGCCGACTAATGGTGGACAGGTGCCACTTCACCTTTGGTCAGTCATTCCTATCTTCAAAAAGGATACGGGGATGCTTGTGAAAACCACCGTGGAACCAGTCTGGTAGCTGAAGCATCAAAGGTCTTTTCGGGCCTTCTCCTTCGACGGTCGACCTAACACAGGGCGAGGCGGATCCGCGAAAACTAAACTGGGTTCCGTCCTGAAGAAGGATGCACCCATCACATTTTCACCCTCTGACAGATTCTGGAACAGCGACACTTCAGCAATCAACAATAGTTGTGTTTTTCGGTCTGAAAGCTGCCTTTGACTTTGTGGACCGTCAGGTACTATGGCAGTGCCTATGGAGCAAAGGTGTCCCCCATAAATTCTTAACTCTCCTTAAGGTGCTGCACGCGACCATGTGAAAGCTTGCCGGAAGCTCTCGCTGAGACCACAACAAATGGTGTTAGGCAGGGGTGTCCTCTTTCACCACACCCATTTAACTTCATCTTTGATACGATTATGGATACAATACGTCTGTGGGATCGAAGTTCTCCTTGGGTGTCCGCTCACAGACATCAAGCACGCAGACGACATAGCTCTTCTAGGATCTGACTCCGTGGCAATGCAAACAATAGTAAATAATCTAAATAATTCTGCTTCGCGGTTCGGCATGCGCTTCACACCTGCAAAGTGTAAAGTGCTACTGCAAGACTGGGTGGGCTCGAACCCTAGCCTCATGCTTGCGGATGAACCGATTGAG